GCACGAGTGAGGGGTGATAGTGCTCTCTCATCCACTTTGCGGGGCTTCCCATTCTGTCCAATCTCGTTGCTCTATCAGTTTCCCATACCCGATGATTCCATCTCACGGGCCATCCTCTAATCGATTTAAGTCCGCCTTTGCCGGCGAGCCCGCGCGCGCGCTGTTATTCCACCTCAGAGTAGCGAAAGCGAGCTTCATCTTCCGGCGCTCGCCACGGAGATCGGGAATGAGCGCGGTTCGCTGTGCCATTCTGAGCTTTATTCCAAGAAAACGATTCACCGATTGAAATATGCGCACGCGGGATAATTAATTTCCTTTCAATTCCATCAAAGTTTGATCTCTAACAAGAATTCTTCGGTCACTTTTAATATTTCAGTTAATCAGACGCTATTTAAAAAATTAAAACTCTATTGCCAGATATGTAATTTTTGCTAATGGATAAGCGCGCTATTCTTCTGATATTCTTCATTGCGACAAAAACATGGCAGATAATAGGAATATATTTCGAAGGGTCGCCCCGGCATCGGCGAGTCTGCAAGAAAGGACGATATTGCTGGAGACGCGTAATCCGGCGTGATCCGACATTCGCAAAGTTTGCCAATATATATTCGCGACGGCGTCGTGTCCGGCGAGCGTGTACAGGCCGGACGAATAGGTATGGGTGAACCTGGACGAGGCTGGGCTATCTCGTATCTCGTAATAAAAGCCAGGGACTGGTGGGCTTTGTGTACGTGGCCGAGGGTCTGCGCGGCGGATAGCGCAATGGTGAGGAGCGAGAGGAACAAAGATAGACAGATAGATGGAGAGCAAAAGAGAAAGAGGGACGAGAACAGCAGAAGGAGAAGAGCGACGAAGGGGAGATGAAATCGCGGGGGGCGGTGAGGCGGGCTCGCTTGGCCGAGAGGATTGGGTCGAAGGAAGAACGACGAAAAGGTGTACGGGGGAGAGAAGGCGCGGGAGGGCGGGAAAGGACGACGACGGGAGCGGACGGGACGAGACGGAGGCAGGGGGGCGCGGAGCGCGGTGGTATGGTTTCCGAGAGGAGAGAAAGAGAGCGAAAGGGGCGAAAGGGGACACGGGGAGAGACTCCCGTTCCAATATACTAAGAGCGGATACGCAAACCCACAGTCAACCGGCCTTGTCCCCCTGCTGTTCGGTATTGCTGTCGCCGGAGAGTTGCTTCTGCTATTGCTTGCCACCGCCGCGTTGCCAACCACGCGCGGCTCCTTCTCTCCCTCACTCGCTCCATACTTTGCAGCTTCGTCGGTCGGTTGCCGTCTCATTGTGCCCGCCGGCTCATTTATTTACGTCCGCGAAAGTTTTTAATCTGATGAGATGCCCGCTTCTTCGTTCTTCCTTAATTCCGCCGAGATTCTCCCCGTGCGCGGCGCCGAACGAGGGTTCGGCCAAGTTTCAGCGATTTTCCGCGACGGTTTTACGCGCCGATATGACACGAGTCGCATGATTCGGAGCGTCTTAAACTCATCCTTGGTGTATTTCCGAAATATTTAGACCCGTCATTCATAGGCGACGCGAGATAAAACGCCGCAGAGAAGTTATCAGGAACGTCCTAACAATGCGCCGGGGCAGTCGGTCGGCCGGTATGATGTGGGAAATTCCGCGAAAGTTGAAGCCCCGTCGCTCCCCGCTCGCGTCCCTCCCCACCCCCTCGCCCCTTCGAAACTCAAACTAGCGCCCGAAGTTATGAACTATTTCAATGAGTTTACTGGAGTTACTCGTTGGCGGTTAGTTGATTACCGTGGCCTCTCCAATTTGCGAATTTGCATTAAACACGAGTGCCCGTGCCATCGCGCGACCGCGCGAGAACTACCGCGTGCGTGCGCGCACGCGTTTCTCTACCGCAGGATCATGAAAAACCACCGCGCGGAAGACTAAACCCGCGGCCACCCGGCATCGTTATGTTTGCCAAATAATTCCGCGCAGCCGTGTAATCGTATTGATTCCCGTTCGTTAACTCGGCCGAGTGACTGATGTTAACTCGCGTTACACGGCACCGAAACTTACGCCTCGGGAACTCGTTACATCGAGTTAGAATGGCATTTCGCGCGAGTTTATAGCGTAATTATAGCCTTTGAAGAGACGGCTGATTATCGAAATTCACATTATATGCCAGATGGACGAAGTTTATTTGTGTTATCCGGTATTTGCTTCGGAAGCAGCACCGAAGCGAATGATTATTTAATTTTCTTATCTACGAATTAGTTCCGCCGTTCAACGAGGCATAAAAGTATTTGCGAAAAACTTCAATAGAATTTGAATCGCATCTGTGAATAAACAAAGGCATTTTATTTCGATAGCGCAACATTTCTATAAAAACGTATTTTACAAAAAATGTTTTACATTGTACTGCATTCTACAAAAATTGTATTAATCTTTTGCGGAACGAATTTCTCTCAATCTGCTCATATTTTTGTTTTTATATTTTAATCTTAATCAATCGGATAAAATAACAAAACAAATGTAACAATCAATTCTTATTATCTGGACGGGTTAGAAAAATTACTTGTTAATAAGAATCATGCACTGCTTTAACTGCTTGGAGAACTTGTTTGCGTAGGATTGTCGCAAAGCACTGTCGAGTTTACTTTGATATACGACCGCAAAGGATTAAGTATCTAAGTTCTTACTGACGTTCAACAAGTTACAAACAGCATTACCAGATTTGCCACTCTCCCAAAGCAAAGGGGATCGTTGCGAATCATCTGCGTAGCGTCTGAATAAACTGCCCTTCTTACTCTCACCCCCCCCCCTCTCTCTTTTGGAAAAAATCCATGCAGTGAACAAAGAAGACGCGAAAGCCTGCAGAAGGAAATCAGGGTCCGGTCGTGGGATCACAATGGTCACCCCGTAAGACTATTCACTCGTCTGCGACGTCCTGAACTTCTCTCGTATCCTTGACCGCGGAAACCGGCACAATCAGTTTCCTCACGGCGGGACGAGAAGGGAAAGAGTTCAACGACGAAGAGCTATGTTCGCGGAGAAGATAAACGCGAACGGGAAAGAAAAGACGACGAGACGAGGAGCAATGCCGCGGAAGTTGGCCCGCGGGCTCGCTTTAATTCGCTGATTACGCGACGACGACGAGGAGCGGAAGATAATCGGGCTTTCAACCGACGGTGTATCTCCCTCCTCTCCCCGATTCCCCGCTATTGCGACCACCCCTTACTCCCGCGACTTCAGCGAAACGCACCACCGCGAACGCGTAGCTTTCTTCTCCTCGACGACGTCTTCCGCGACGAAACTCCCCTCGCGCTCGCTTCCGCCGTCGTCGCAGTCTTGGGATTCCGCCAATGTTGTCGCAGCAGCCTCGTTATCGTGTCCGCGAGTGTCCCCAACGGTTTCATAATGCTATTCAGAGCAGGGCATGAATGCTCCTTCCTCTGTCCAAAGTTTCCGAACATTCGACGTGCTAATAATATGAGCAGCAATGCCCGTCCCTTCCCACACTCTTTTCTCAGAGAGCAACTTCTTGCTCGTGCTTTTCTTCCACCTGCTCGACTCGCTCATTCGCCTCGCTGCTCTTCCTTCCCGGCTTAAGAGTCTAGTGTACTTACTTCGTTTTTCCTCGCTCGTCATTGATTTCTTTCCCTCTATCTCGTGTTTTATTCTGTAAACTTCGCGCGAGCATCTTCGAAATTGATAGACACATTGAAAAGAATATTAAACATAATTTAAAAATTTTTTTTACTTTCCAAGTGCTTCTTTTCGCTTCCTAAAAAGTAATTCAAGCGCTGAGCGTATTTCCGCTTCTGTTCTCTTTCCAACTTACAAGCTGCTTCTTTCGTAACGCAAATATCAATAAACACACAGCACGATAGATCCACGTCGAAGTAGAAAAGACCGCGCAGATCGCGAACGTCTTTTTCGCTCGGCGTTTCCGCTTGGCAGCACGGCGGGATAGAGGAGTTGCTCGATGCCAATTTAAAGTAATTTTCTCGTTAGAGCGGTGCGAACAAGCCGATTTCGTTAACCCCGTAAAACCTCTCGCGTCGAGATTCTCATCGAACGCTCGCGCGCGAATCGCAACGGGGCACCGTCCCGTGGCGAGTGTAATAAGTATCGCGAGCGATATCTCTACTCCCTTCTCGTGAAGGTAGCGTAATTGTTTTCGCTCGATCTATTTAACATAACTCCGGCGTCCGGGGAGCTGCCGGAAAAAAATGAGGACTAAACGAGGAGTGCCGGTAATTGTCAGTAACAAGAACAGGGAACCTTACAACACGCGTGTGTGTCTGCGCGGTTTAATCGCAGGACGAGACCATGGGCGACGGAGGGAATCGAGAGGGGAAGCGGGTTGGCTGCGCGCGGGAACGAGAGAAAAATTATAACCACGGCGGATCCGCGCGCGCGCGCGCGCACGTGTGTGTGTGCGCGTGTGAGCGCACACGGCACCTTCGTATACACATAATTGCCAGCAAAAGCCGTAATTTTTTCATTATACTCGGCGGAACAAATACCGGCGGTGGCGGTTACCCTTAGGGGGGGAGTGAGCCCCCTCCCTCCTCATGTGAGTATGTTTCCCCCTTCTTTTGCCGCTCTTTCTTCCTCTATGATACATTTCAAATTCTTAATTTTTGCTTTATTCAGAGCTCGCTTTGATTTTTACTGTAAAAAAGCACGCACTGTAAAATTACAAACGCACGTATTTTCCCTTTTCTTCTTTCCATTTTTTTTTCCACCGGAGTTCATAGTCGATATTTATCCCGTACTACCTATTTCGTAAACAACTCCTATCCTTCTTCATTCCGTCGCGATTCATATCATCGAGTATTCCCTTTCTATTCCACCTTTTCGCCCGTTCCATCCTCTTTGCGTATCTTCTTTTTCCCGCTTTTGACGTGCAACTCGTACAATAGGAGAAGTCAGAGGCTCGCGGCACGGCCCATTAAAAAACTCGCAATTAGCATTTAAAATATAAACCTTGGCGCAGCAGGTGGGACAAAGTGCGATGTCTAATGAAAGCGAGGCAGGCAGGCGGCGCGGGGGTGGTCTTTTAGATCGGTTAAATGCCTTTCAGTCGTGGCGCAGAGAAACCCGCCGCGGTTTAAATGAAGCTCACCCCTGATTGGCCATTCGCCCGTCGCTTCGTGCATCCGTATCCTAGACTTGGCGTAATTTCGCTTCTTCACGTTCCTCCACTTTCGACCTGCCGGTGCCATTCATGTATTGAGAGAATAAAAGACGAGAGGTGGGGGGTCGGAAATCGTGCAAGCGAGGGGTCAGAAGGATTTTGCACTTAGCGCGAATTTATCTCGAAGCCGCGTTGCCTAGACTATCCCTCTTTATCCCCTTCTCCATCCTGTTTACCTCTTTTCATTCTTTTTCCATCACCATCCATCTCCGCCTCCAACCGTCGATCCTTGCTGAACAAAAGGCCACCGGCCATGCTTCGGGATCCCGAGTATCGGATGCGCGGTTCATCCCACTACTCTCTCGCGTATCGTGCATTTTCTGCCGGGCCGCAGCTCGAAACCAAAGGTCGAGGTTTCTTCTTTCTATCGACTTTTTTTGGGCTTGCGCCGCTTCGTTACGGACGGATAAACGACCGCGTCTGCGATTCCACGCGCATTACTTTCGACGTTACGTAACGTTGCACAACGGCGAGATTGCAGGAGATCGGATTGCGAATGTAAGAATGCAATCTCTCATATTTCATATTTAATTATATATTCGTTCCAAATTTCTGTAAATCTCTTCGACGTCTTACTTCATGTTGCGTCGCATTCAATTTTTCGCGATTTTTCAACCGCGGGACGTATTATTGCGTTCTAATGCATCCTAAAATCATCGAGCTGAGACGTGGAGAAGAACGCGAGGCCGATATCTCGGGCCAAGAGACTGTAAGAACAGAACCGGCAGAAGAGAGCACTGCGTTAATAATTTGCACTCGGACGAGTCTATTGTCCTGCGGCGGGCGCACGCGACCGCTCCAATTATGGCACTCCGCCTTGCCGAGGCTTCAAACCGAGCTGCTCCACTCGCATCCCCCTCGAGTACTCCGCCAACCTGCACCCTCGCCTACAATCCTACCCCTGCGCGCGCTTCCCTTTCCCCCCTGTCGTCCTCTCGCGCTCGCTTGCTCATTTCTGCGCGGATATCGCGGGGGCTTCTTTTCACTCCGAGAATTTTAATTACAATCGTAATTATCGCCCCGAAAAAGTTTCTCTCGCGAGTGCCCGCCGTCTAATAACCGCGGCAGTTCCGCCGTGATTATTTCTCGCGAGAAATGAGAATCTATACGATGATGCGACGTGCCTTCACCGTTGTTTTAGAAATTTCTAGTTGACATAACGAACACGATAATATTTGTAGTGTCAGTTTGAAAAAGTTCAATCATCTTCATTATTATTCAGCGTATTAACAGTTTAATATAAATTCGATATAAATACCAGATGCTTGTGCAGTTCGGTCTGCCAGTTCACGGTGTGTTCCTTTTGCTGCATGCCACGTGTTTCCTGAAACCTCATTACAGCGAGCGGTGATGGCGGAAATGGGAAACTACTCCGGCTGGAATCGAGGTGCCGCGAGTTCTGAAAAGATCCGCGCGTCGACGATGATGAAGTGTCGCGCTACTGCGGATTTGCTTGTCTCTTTCTGCCTCGCCGCTGAGAAATAGGCGCGCGCGTTCGTTATCACCGTGACACTGTAATCTTCACGATGCGGAAAACTTTTCCCGGGGCTTCCGTGCAGCACTTGACTCTGCTCGTCATTTTATACATCGCATGGGGGAATATATTAATTTTAATAGCTTCAGCTTCTTAAAAAACAAAGATTACATTCTGGATTCTGTATTTAACTATACCTATAATTTTTTTAAACGTTCGTTATAATTAATTTTAAATACAACTGACACAATTCCCGAAGCGAGACGAACGATTTTTATTTCGAGCGCTCGAGATTGTCTCGCAGCGATCTCGTGGCATGTGTAATCTCCATCCAGGTAGACGAAGCGCGGAATTAACCGGGTCGTGATGGTAACGCCTTGGCCGAGACCTTCGTGTAGCAGCGGTGGCGAGCTGGCACGTCACGGCTCGGTAATAATCACGGCGGTAGGTGCGCGCACCGAGAACGGCTTCTGCGAGGTAATTGAGAAACGTTCTCGTGTTCGAACACGACTTGGCTACCGTTGGCAGGAGCCCACCGCTAATAGGACGGTTGGCACGCACGCGATTCATTCATAAAACGTTCTCCCGCCGTAGCTGTATCGCCGTCGTTGCGCCGCGATCGACCAAAACCACGGCCGATGATCGTTCCCTTCCCTCAAATCGCGCATGATGAAAGTGGTCGAGATAACACGTTACATGGCGGAACAGTCTGATCCTTAACGAAGCAGTACAAATTATTATTTATTTTCGACAGCCAGACAGAGTAACTCTTCGATGAAATAGTTAAAGTTATGGATGGTAAAACATGAAAACAGATTAAATTTACTATTGAAATAACTATTGATAATAAAAAGAAGTCACACGAGAAATTTGTTATGCTGCACAGAAAACCGCTATTATCCAGAATAAATTTCTACATCGTTCGATAAACGTACTTCAAATTAGAAGGTCGAGAGATCGTCTCCGAAAAGCTTCTTAAATCTCGCTAAAGCGAGATAACTCGATGACTTCGTGACCGTTAGCGTCACGACGAAGAGATGAAGTAGAAGTAGGAAAGATAAAGGTCAGAGCGGGTCGGTGACGGAGAAAAGAGGGGCAAGATATAAGAGAACGATGCGAAAGTAGCAGCAGCAGAATCGCGCGCGGCGCTTCGAGAGAAAGAGAAGGAGAGAGAGAGAGAGAAAGAGAGATACACGTATTCTACTAAATGGTATACACGGGGCGCTTTATATAAGTGACGTGCTAACGAAGTGTGTAACAGGCGGCAAATAAGGAACCTGTAATTACGAGCGTGCCGCGGACGGCGCGGAGAAGGGGGCCCACCCACGAGTCCCACCGGCGGCTGTGTCCTACCCATCGGCGGCCGTCGTAGGGTCCCACGGCGATGCGGCGAAGGGCAGGTTTCGTCTCTTAGGACCAGAAGAGACCGCCGCGCCCGCCCGAAGGACGAAAACATCTGGGTCAGCGCGGCTCTGATTATCAAGCGGAGAAACACGATGGGATGGGATCCGAACGACGGATGTCGGCGCGACGTCGTTCTTGTTGCGTCTTGTTTCTCAGCGGCGCGGATTAATGGGCGTTTAATAATGGTGGAGAGTTACACACCTGAGGAAGATGGACTCTCTCCCCCTCTCTTTCTCTCTCTCTCTCTCCCTGCCCTCGGGGAGATCGTCCTCTTAGCGCGCGCGTTTACGATACTACAAGAACATTTACGTTCTCGCCGGAAAGATATATTTACAAGACGTTCTCGCATCGGTCTTCGAGAACCGTCCAGAGAGTTTTTGCATCGCAAGCCGCGAGAAAGACACGCATAAAGCGTATAAGAGATTCATAGTTGAAATTAAAAATATTAAATGTGTTTACTTGAAAAATATATTTTTTGCAATTAGATTAATATAACTTGACGATGTTTGATAAAATTGAAAAAACAATTTTACAAATTGTAATTATTCGACATTCTCGACTATATCAGGTCTGTTTTGAGATATCGTTTTAGATCCTGCTGCGCCATTCGCCAATTTAAAATTTGCTGTCAACCGCGATCGGCGGCGAGGCCGTTAATGTTCGCGATTAAATGCCTCGGCTTCGGGCGTCGGAGAAATTTACGACGAGACGTGCCGCAAAAGGAGCAAGACGAGCGGGCTGGGCCGTCGTTATCACGCGGCGAGTTTCGCCCGATCGTGTTTACGAAGTGCCCCGGCGCGATGGGCAACGCGTGGCGTGTGCATCGAGCGAGGCGAGGGTACGCGCCTTGTTCGCGTCGGGAACGAAAAAATCCTGTTCTCGCCGGCAACGCGGGCGGACGGACGGACGGACGTTTCCCCTCTTCGTGATCACCGCGAGGCAAGAAGCTCGCGCTCGAGTTGCGTGAGAACAGGTCGAAAGACGGGAGGAGAGAAATTTTATGGCTCCCCGAGGTCTGTCGATTGGCATCGCTAGAAAAACTAACCACCTCTCTTCGTGTTCCCCTCCGTTTGCAGGTGCTCGAATCGCAATGCTGCTAATGTGAAAAAAACTCGAGAACACGCCAATCGCAATATTCGTCCTGGAAAAACGTTGTTTTTCTATCCGCTTATATTAAATCGCCCGTCGCGATTGACAACGCGTGTGAAACTTTTTTTTACAATTGTTCTCGCTAAATAGAGTCAATCTTCTCGCAATTTCCGTCATTGGATTCACTTTTTTCATTCACGATCATTTACGAAGAGATTTCCGAAGCCCGCTACGATATAGCGAAAGTCGGCGGGCAGTCTATGATTATCTGCGGATCATTGCGGATGATAGCGATAGTGAAATGGCCGCGAACGTCTTACGTGAACGACGATACAACACTAGACAGCTAACAACGGCGCGAGCTTGCTCACACGTCCTTGCTCGGCTGCGCTGAAATTACGGCGCCACGCCGCGGAACGCCAGACACCGCTCATTAGCTCATTATCGCTCTAGTAGCACGTCTGCTAGTACTACTACTATTACCGCTAATAGTAACATTACGTAGATCCGACGGCCGTCTCTTCTCTATTTATATCCGACAGACAGTGCGCAGACAAAATTCAAGAAGAAAAAAAAGAAATCATAATTACATCTAAATCTATTTAATTTGCGAGTCAAAGAATAACGATTAATTATATCTCCAGCTAGTCTAGTTCGATTTGTATATTTAACCTTTTGCGAAGAAAACGCAGCATATATAGCATGCTTCAGGCCCGACGTGCTCTTAATTCGTCTCGCTATCGGGTTCCAGCCGGAGCTACGTCCGGCGGACGTGCCAAGAGTCCAAGTTCGGCCTAATGAAATCGACGCGAACGCTTTAAAGCGCGCCCATAAAACTAAACGAGCGCGGAGGACGCCAGTCGTCGCGTCGGTGCTGTATGCTCTATCAGACGGCGAGCCAGACAAGGCGACACTATAAATGGTTTTATGGACTCTCTTGCTAGAGTTGAGTCAATTCGCGACCCAAGTTTTTCGGTCCGTGCTTTACGGCGCGCTTATGACATCCGTAATCGGATTACATTCTGATACGACGCGATTTAGTGTGTCCCGCACGCCTTAGCTACTTACTCTTACTCCGTCTCTCACGCCAAAATGTACCATTGCACTCACCTGAAACAAAAAAAGAAGACAACAAATTAATTATCGATGTCTAAATATTGCGAGATAAAGAAATTTTTACCTTACAACACATTATTCTAAACTTTTATTAACAAGAATATTTTCCACAAACTTTATTTCTGTCAATAAAGTCATTAGTTTCACAGCTATTATTTTATCGCGTTACTTGCTTTTATTAACTTTGCCCTTTCCTTATCCCAAATTAAAACATTCGAGTATATGTTCCGTCAGTTCATCCCTGTCAGACCAGACACTGTCCATTGAAAAGGGTAGCAACGATGCGATGTTTGTCTATCGGGAGTGAGAGAGGGGGGAGACGGGGCCTCCGCACGCAACGTTCAGCGTGCCTCGGCTTGCGTAACACGCGTAGCCGAAGGAAAGGGTCCTAACTATTTGCTCGGCTGCAGTGCTATCTGTTTCGATTCGTGTTTGCAGTTCCCATGTTGACAGGCGTACTACGCTACGGCCTCGCAAGCATGACTCGTTTATATATTTGCCCGACGTGGACGCGTTTACACGCGCGTAGACGACGATCGCACACGAAGCGCACCACATTCGACGAGTCTGTGCGTCGTGCGTGCGTGCGTGCGAGCGCTAAGAATGTTTGTCTCCTTTTTGAAACGGTTTTACCTCAGGCGTTTATTTGCAATAGTAATATTGCATTCGAGTTTTATTCGTGGCCGAGGTTTTTTTTCAATGTGCTAATCGGAAATATTTCGATACTTTTTCGATATAAAATGTCGAGTGTGTAAACTGTACGCGCGCGCGTAATCTTTCTGAGCAGATAACGGCGTCAAACGATGGCGATTGGACGCGATCACACGATCAGAGTGCAACGCCACGTTTCGCTCCATCTCTATCTCTCTCTCCCCGTCTCCCTCCCGCTTTGTGTACCTTGACATAACAGCCGATGATAACCGGGCGCGACGATATTGGGAGCTACGCGGCGGCTCGCAGCTATACACCGGCGGCCTATTACACGCCGTATTACCACTGTCAACATACGCGCACGCATAATAACGGTTATTAGATACGCTGGGGCCGGCTGCGCGCGGCGGCCGGGATTTACCCTTCGCATTACCGCCGGCACCGCGTCCGCACAATTCTGTCCACGCGAGTACGCGAGTGTTCCCGCGGACTCGCCGACGGACACGCGGATGTTTGCCGTCACGGGGGCTGCGCTTCGTGGCACAGATTGCATCGAGGTCAGCAGCCGCTGTGCGAGTATACGGTAGCGACTAGGGTTTGATAAGAAATTATGTTGATAAGTTTTTTCAAACATTTCGAACGTTTCGCGAAACGCACAGATTTTA